ACAGTTGTAATTGTTTTTGATGTACTCGCTACCCGATTTACTCGGATTCCATTCGCGGTAACTAGCCGAGAGGGGAGAGCGCAGTACCGAGTCTATTCATGGTTGAGTCGGTTAATTATGTGTTAGTTAATATGTACTTAAATCGCTTCGTGAAAGATTTTAAGAATTTTAGTATTGATTACCCACTATCATTTACGGGAAGTTAGTATGATTAGTGATTTAATCTACTTAAGTTAAGTAACGCTTCGTTTGAACCGGCCCGGTTTCGGAAGCCGCGTATTTTATAGACTGACGTCGCGCTCGACAGTTCAGTGTAACGCAGTGGAACTGTCGAGCGCGACGTCTGTATTTTATCGACGTTGGTGGCATGCATTGTTTATTTCGCATTGTTCGATTGATTGTTTTAAGCAGCTCGCAGTCGTATACCGTATTTCTGGCGCGATCGGTGTGAACGTTCGGCCGCGTATTTGTCTCAGATTCGGTATTTCGCAATCCGTATTTTCATAAATAGAGTTTCGTGTGACGAGGTTATATTCACGTTATTCACATTTTAGCTCGTTCACGAGATCGTATTATGACGTACAGTATTTGCGAAATACCGAATCTGCAGACAATACGGGCGGCGTCACACGTCTATTCGGCGGCTGCCAGAAATACGGGTATTGCGGAGCACACACACACGACACGACACACACACACACACACACACACACACACACACACACACACACACACACACACACAGTATATCTGCAATTGATTGTTATCAAGCAAGTTTATTTTGCACGTGTTTTCCCGCGTCCCGTGCCACGGAGGTCCGTGGTTCGTTGCAAATGCAAACTTCGACGCCTGGTTGAGAAATGTGACTCGAGTCACATTTAATGACAACGAACTTTGCTACTCACTGACGAGATATCCGGTATATTTAACAAAAACAAAATTCACAGCGTGTTAAAAACTCAATAACGTAACTGTAGAAATGTTTAAAGCTTTCCCGATATCCGGCCGTTCGCCCGACGAAATGCCAAATAATAATTAGAGTAGCATTTATACGGAAGAGAACTCCGGAAATTCGTACAGGCGAGTCTGCACGTTTGTTCTATAGCCGCGTTCACATGTAGCAAGAAATCCGGTATTTAGCGATTACACGAGGCAAAATACGAGGCCCAAGAAATACGGTATCTAAACAGATCCGGTATTTCATGTAAATACGAGGCTTCCCAGACCCCGAATAATTTGCCGTGCTTGAGAAATACCGGATTTCTTGGACCGCGCATTTCCTCGTGTGAACGCTAAATACCGGATTTCTTGGACCGCGCATTTCCTCGTGTGAACGCTAAATACCGGGGTCGGTTTCACGAAGCGTACTTAAGTATTGAATTGTGATTAAATCACTAATCATGATTAACTTTTCGTACTTAAATTGAAGTGACTGTTTCACGAAGCGTAATTAACTTTAATCATGATTAAGTTAAGCACAATATTTAATTCTACTCAGGAGCATGATTAAATCCACTAATCATAATTAGTTGCTAGTACTCGAATTTAGAAGTAGATAGTACTAGTATATTAAGTACGCTGCAGATTTTACAATTGGAAATTTTACTTCAATTTTTTCCCAAGGAAATTTAAGTTATCTAAGATTTGCTGTACTTACTTTACAGTCATTATAGTTACAAATTAATTCCTTTTCATGTACCGAACTTGCAGATATTTTTGGCGTATTGGTCCGCCATATTGAATACAGTGTAATTTGTTTTAGACTGGTACTCGCTCCCACCTCGATTACTCGATTCCCATCGCGTAACTAAGCCGAGAGGGGAGCGAGTACCAGTCTATTCATGTTGAAGTCGGTTAATTATGTGATACTCTCTCTCTCTCTCTCTCTCTCTCTCTCTCTCTCTCTCTCTCTCTCTCTCTCTCTCTCTCTCTCTCTTTACCGCTATCTCGCTCTCTCTGTCGCTATATATATATATACCTCTATTTCGATCTCTATTTCTCTTTCTTCATTCTATTCTCTTTGCCACTCCTCGCCAATTCGCTTACGCGATATTTCTCGCTAGAGCTGCACATTCCGTTTAAATCTATTTTAATACAACCGATGATGTGCCCACAGATTTTCCTTTATAGATTCTAACCAGCAGATTTTGCTGGGAGATTCTCTTACTGTATTGCGTTGTCCAACCTAGATTGGATAGGTTATACGTTAGGCATACTCTAAGCCTGCAGTAAGTCCACATTGCAATGATAACGACAGGACTTGCCCCGTTTTACCGTTATCGATTCACGTTTCTCTGAGAGTGCCAGATATACAATCTCTCGTACTTCTCACATGGCGAGAGGACCGAAGCAGTTGGTTCGACTGTCACTATAGCCGTCATGGGGAGAAATGATAAGCTATTCATAGCTTCTACTGCGACTAGTTGGTTCTATGGGTTAGACGGACTATATATTCGCTATAGGGACTATAGATTCAACAGTGTAACTGTAGCTAGCTACCAAGGGAAAATGGTAGCATTCGAAATTTCGCGGCCTCGGTACGGCAGTGCACATGATTGTCAGTTTTGTATATTTACTACAGAAAGGACGTCAACCGGAGCCTAGTAATAGCCCAGTAAAAGCAGAGATCACACACACGCGCGCACACGCACGCACGCTCACGCACACACACACACACACACACACACACACACACACACACCTGTCCGCCCGCATGCACGCGCACACGCACGCGTGCACGTACGCAGGCGCACACACACGCACGCTCACACACACACACACACACACACACACACACACACACAACAGAGAGCAAGAGACGATGATACGCGCACGCATGCACGCACGCACACACGCACGCACGCATGCACGCACGCACACACGTGCACGCAAACAAACACGCGCGCTTGTACGCCACACAGGCACACACGTGTATACACACCCAACGTAGCCACACACCAACGCTAAACACGCGTACCCACATGAACATACGTGCACGCACGCAGATAGGCAGGCGCACATACATACACACACAGACACGCGGGCACGCACGCACACACAGACCCGTGGCCGCACATACACGCCCGCGTGTCGCATGCACGCGTCCGCGCATGTGTCCCCGCACGTTTCCGCTTACTACACAGCGATAACGCGTCTATTTATGCTGATCACAGCGAACGCTAGAGCGGCGGTTATTAATGTTAAACGAGCCTATAGCTATCGCAACAGTATATTATGTACATATATATACAGCGCGACAGGTTTTTTCTCCCCGCGGCAGCGGGAACACCATGATGTGGTTAATGATGGTGCGGAAGGAAGGGGAGAGGGGGAGGGAGAGGGGGAGGGGAGGGGAAAGGGAGAGGGGGAAAGGAAGCTCTAGCTGGGTTTCATCGCAATGCTGAGCTATTCAGAGCAAAATCTAAAGCTCCTCACTGCATGATTATTTACTTGTTCGTCTCACGATTTCAATACTATACTTTCACGGTGTTTCGCAAGATGTAGCGTGGTTTCACGCGTTGTAGGGTTTCACACGTGGTATGGTTTCACGCGTGGTAGGGTTTCACGCGTGGTAGGGTTTCACACGTGGTATGGTTTCACGCGTGGTAGGGTTTCACGCGTGGTAGGGTTTCAAATGTACGTACGTACACACGCATGCACGCGAGGGCGGACGCACGTATGTACGTACGTACGCACGTACGTACGCACGCACGCACGCACGTATGTAGGCACGCACGTACGCACGCACGCACGCACGCACGCATGCACGCACGGGCGGGCGCACGTATGTACGTACGTACACACGCATGCACGCGAGGGCAGACGCACGTATGTACGTACGTACGTGCACACGCACGCACGCACGCACACACGCACGTACACACATGAATGCACAGACGGACGGACGCACACACGCACACACGCACACACGCACACACAGACACATACACACGCGCGCGCGCAAACCACGGCGTGTCGTTGAAAGCGTGTGCTCGTACCATGGTACATTTACTTTCCGACGGAATATAACAATATACGTAAATCGGTTCGGTGATTTGCTCATATGCTCACGAGACGATTTATGCACGTCGTCATGTGAGTTGTAAGAGATTTTAGTTGGTTGTATGTATAGTGCGTAGCTCACCTTTTCCAGAGATTTGGCATTCACTTGCCTGACTCTTGTCTAACTCCTGTTATACTTGCCAAGTCACTCGAAAAAAAGACGTTGTTAAAAATCCGATCAAAAAGTTGGAATTAAACCGCTGGTTCAACGTAAAACCACTAATGTCAACAAGCAACTATGATACAAGGACCCAGTACGAGATACTATGAGGATATGATTCATGAGGTTATGATAACAGTCGTTATCACGTTAGGATAACATTGAGAATAAAAACAATATTTTGATGTTTTTGAACAATATTTATAGTAAGTGAATTTTGAATATTTGAGTCCCTCCCCCCGACATGATGATATGAAAACTAATCCCGTTTCATAAAGTTCCCAATTATAGAATAGAATAAAACATAACATGGTTAACATGGTTAATTAAAAAGAAGTTGCATATTATTGAAAAGGTGCCTTGATATATTAAAATAATGAAATATAATATAATAAACCTAATAACAACATAAAATGTTATCACCAGATTCTGTACGGTTTAAATTGGATTCACACGCTCCAAAGATAAAATCAAATATGAGTGTAAATGAAATTTTAATTATGCTAGCTGTATTGTAGAGACGCTTTAAAAAAATTATTGTTTTTCACTCTGATAGAAAAACACCTACATTATGTTACATCGTTCAGCCATTATAGAAATAAAGAATAAGTCTTAGCTTAGCTAGACGAGAACTGCATGGTTCCATGACTTTACCGTAATCAATGTCAGATATTTATTAACGATACTGTATTATTTGAGTTTTCTATTGCCGTAGTGTAACAACAGCTGGTCGCATTGAGCGCTACCCGCAGGTGAAGAAAACGATCGATTTGGCACGATGAGCGACGTAATTTGGCACGAGTTTACGTACAAGGGCTCTCATACATCCAACAGGTGTATCAGCAGTAGCAGCAGCAGGAACATCAACACCACACGCACGCGCGCGCACACACACGCACACACACGCACACACACACACGCACGCACACACACACACACAGCAGAGTAAGTAGTAGTAGTTTAGTTAGTAAGCAGCCAGCAGCAGCAGCAGCAGCAGCAGCAGCAGCAGCAGCAGCAGACAAAAAAGCAAAGCAGAACAGCAGCAGCACAGCAGCAGCAGCAGCAGCGAGACAGCAGCAGCAGCAGCAGGCAGCAGCACAGCAGCTAAGCAGCAGCCAAGCAGCGCAGCAGGCAGGCAGCAGCAAGCCAAGCAGCAGAGCAGCAGCAGCACGCAGCAGCAGCAGCAGCAGCAGCAGCAGCAGCAGCAGCGCAGCAGTAGCAGCAGCGAAAGCGACAGACAGATAGAGTGAAAGAGAACATACCACACGGTAATCGATGCACGCGTCTTCATAGTCGTTTCCATGGTTACAGATGCCGCAGCCGTGAAGCTGGGAGATCCGGTGAGGAAGGCGATTGGAGCGCGCGCAGCTTCATACCGGGGCCCCGTTACACGGCAACGGCAGCGGGGGCAGACGAAACCGGTGAATCGTCGCAGGTCAAGGTCGTACGGGTCAACGGCAATCCAATCAAGTATATGCATTGTATTATATTTATTGCGTGTATTGTACGCATATTGTATTATATTATTGTATGTATTGTACGCATAATATATTCTATTATTGTATGTATTGTACGCATCTTGTAATTTTGTATTGTATATTTGTATAATTTTGTAATACATGTTTGCATAATATATCACGTTATGCTTAGGGATTATGTATATATATATATATATCTATCTATCTATAGAAAATATATATATCTATCTATAGATAGCATAGAGAGAATATAAAGTAGCTAGATTAAAAAATATATATATATATATAATACTATACAAAAATAGAATCTGTCCTTTTTTTTGTATTTCATGCTTTCGAGAACGCGCGTCTCCTCTTTCTTCGGCGGGACGTCACGACGAACGTTCTATTGTTTCAGGCTGCTCACGTATCCGCGGCCGCCGGCTAAGGGCGGCATTCTCATCACGACTGAGGACCTGTGCTGTCTGGATACGGGAGAGTTCCTGAATGACGTCATCATTGACTTCTACATCAGGTTAGTACAGATGCTGGAGTCTGTTGTTCGTTGTCTGTTGTTGTTTTGTTGTTGTTGTTGTTGGTTGGGGGGTGGTGCTGTGTTTGTGGATGGTGGAGGTGGTGGATAAGGATCGGTTGTGTATATATATAATAATATATATATATATATATATTCGTCTGGTATCTCATATATACCGTAATATATATAATATACATTTGTGCTGTGATGTATTATAATAGATGCTTACTATAATATTACTATCTATCTGTCTATAATCTTGAATATTATACATATATAGATAGGATAGAATAGATGATAAGGCATAGATAGATAAATAAGATAGCATAGATAGATAGATAGTTAATAGATTAGATGATAGATAGATAGCATAGATAGATAGATACGATAGATAAGATAGATAGATAGATAGATAGATAGTAGATAGATAGATAGATAATAGATACATAGATGATAGATAGATAGAGTAGATAGATAGATAGATAGATAGGATAGATAGATAGATAGATAGAATAGATAGTAGATAGCATAGTATAGACTAGATAGACTAGATAGATAAGATAGATAATTAGATAGATAGCATAGAGATAGAG